AAGATGAATTTGGGGATTTTTTTAGAGTTTCTTCTATTTCTCAAATGGTGAAAGAAATAATAAGTGCTTAAATTATCGATTTTATTGTTCAACTTAAATAGATAGAATATTTATATTGACATTTCTCTGATTAACGAAATAAAAGGTGATTGTCAAATAGGATGAAGAAATATGATGGGAAGGTCTCGATTCAAAGAGAAAGAGAAGAAGGCTTATTGAGGTAATCATATTGACAAATAATTCATGGTTGATAGTTATATAGATGATTATTGACACTTTTAAAGTTGTTATTAAAGACATCAAATTAAATTAATGTTATCATAATATTTACTTTATAAAATTAGTTAACAATGATTAATACAATTTAAAATGATTTGGAACAGTTTAGGATTTTATTAACCTAATGTATGAATGTGAAATGCCGAAGCCAATAAAGGATCTTAAAAGGGATTTGAGGTAAGATTATGTTTAGGAAATATTTATGTGAATTAATGAAATATAATAGTTTATGTAATTGGGTGTGTAACTTTAGATTGTATTAAAGAAGGCTATCTCAGGAATCAACAATTAGAAAGAGATTTAAGTACAAAAGTAAATAAAGTGGGTAATTTCAATTGTGTTAAATCAATTCTCAATTCCTTTTATGTTATTTATTTTTATTTTATTTTTTACAACTATTGAATATTATAGTATTATGATGATAAAATGAATATTATGTTGATGAAATGATTATTGTATAATGAAAACTATATGAATAGAAATGGAAATGTGTATTATTCGCTATACGAATAAAATGAATAGACAGATTACTATAAAATGCAAAGAAAATAAAATATTTAATGATTATTTAATAGAAATGAAAGAATTAAAAGATGAAAAAGTGTATGTATGCAAATTACAGGAGTTCACCCTCGTATGGCATTGGTTGGGGAAATAATGTACCCGTACACGTTAAATGAAAAAAGAAAAAGAAATAAAAATAGTTGTACATTTAATGATAGATTTAGACGGTGCTTCTATACTAATGAAAATGAAATAAATGTTAAATGGAAATTAACAAATGAAACTGAATAAGAAGTAATCTATGTGAAAGATAAGTTATAAAATTTATAGTATATGAAAGAAGATATATATGCTAACTGTATAAGAAAGGAAAAGGAACATACATGTTTTAATATATATGATTAACTGTTGTATCTGAAATGGTAACAACTGAGTTTGCTTTGTAAACTCAAACTGTTAAACTAAAATAGTTTAGGTAAATCATCAGAGAAGTAAAAATGATTGAAAGAGATGAATACGTCTATAAAAGATGGTGCTCAAATGAAAGCATGTAATATATAGTTTATGCAAATGAAGAAGATGCGAAAATTGTATTAGTATTTTGATACAAATTTATGTTAGTGGCTCTTTAGTTTATTTGGAATGTAGATGATAAAATGTGTTTGAAATTAAAAGAAATGTTGTAAATGTCTAACTATTCATTCTCACCTCATTAGTTCGAGTACTCGAGCCGGATCGTGACAGTTAGACATCAGCATATAGTATTTCATAAATGACAAATGGGTCCACATATATAATAAAGCACTAGTCCAGTCTTTCTTTTAGTTTGTTTAAAGTAGACTAGTTCTAAATTGTAAATGCTTCAACTTTAGGAAGTTGACGAATCCAAATGATTCTGCCATGAACTTCATCAAGATTTTCATTGAAACCTACAAGAAAGTCATAGGTTCTAGTTTTCCCACAATTTTGATATTTATCCACTCTATCTATGCTAATTGTTCAGTTTAAAGATTTTCAATTCTCACAAATCTTTGTCAGTGCGATGATATATTCAGTACCACTCATTTTTCCTTTGTTGAGGTTATGAACATGGTCTCATAATTCACACAGTTGAGCAAAATTTTAAAGGCCAGAAAACACCATGTTGACTTTCTCCCATATTGCTTGTGCTGTGTTGCAGGCCAAGTATAAAGATCCAATATACTTTTAATAGAATTGATTAATCAGAACATTACCAAGGCATTATTGGTATCTTATGATGGAAAGAAAGGGTTAACTATTTCGAGTTGTTGGATGGCATCATTTAGATATCTTGTTTTTTCTCTTCCCCGAGTCACCATTTGGACTAAGCGAGACCATTCAAAGAAGTTCTTTCCATTATTTTGTAAGAAGTAATTTCAAGGGGTGAGTGCTCTATGAAGACTCCCAAAATCACGTTGTGGCTTGGTAAGTGGAGGGAGGACATATGTTACGCCCTTCTTTGCTAGACCCAACTAGGGCCCTTTTATAACTATTGACTATAGCTTAGAGAGAACCTATCTCTAATACCATGTAAGAAAAGAAAGCTGAAGAGAAATAGGGTAAAAGAATTGGTGAATATTCCATTGTGATTATTTGACTAGAACATGGCACAATTTATAGGGTTTTATAATGGGTAAAAAACATGAATAAATAAAATATATTCTAGCAACAAGGAAAAGAAATACTATGTAAGCAATAGAACATAAAAAATTACAAAAAAAGGAAGATAGAACCTCTTGGAAAGAAATACAAAATTTCTTACTAAATCTATCCTTAACCTGCAAGCCATAAGACAACAAGCTATAGATAATGAGGTTGTCAAGTCAACAATCCAAGATAAAAAACTACTTTCAAAGAAGGCCCCATTAATGTCATAGCCTTTCATGCAAAGATAGGTTTTTCTCCATGTGCGGGAATACACCTCAGCCTTCGATTGCCACAGCCTACGAGCCATGTAAGGCCATTCACCATGTGCAAGGAAATCCATGTGCTCAGTTACCACCATAGGACATTCGAGAGATATTTTAGCGATGATTTATTCAAAAATATCAAATACTGATTAGTCATAGCTAAATTTGTCCCAAGTCGAATAGATCTGATAAAAATCTCATGTTTATTCTAATTGAAAGCATCACGCCAAGCATTAATTTCTACATAGCTTATGTATTTTCTTGTCATTATTTAATTCATTTTATTTGTTATTTTTGTTTTGATGGCATACCAGTGAAGCAAAATCCCTACTAACTCCATAATGGAGGCAATCGTCAAAAGCAATAGCATAAAAGCTCCCACCAAGGAGTTCCAAATTCAAATTCTATTGTTTACACAATTGAAGATTGTTTACACTATTGAAGATCAAATGATCAAACCCCATGCGACGAGCATTGTATTGTGACATCCGGTGGGTATTTTTTATTATCACTTTCAAGAGGCTTTGGTAAATATAAATTACAATTGGAGTCCGACTCCAAAACAACAAATCTAGGGATTCCCTACCATACGATCTCATCAAGAATGAGTCCCAAAGATAGCTCAGACTACAATTGAATCATATAGAAACCATTATTAAAAAAAAAAAAATAGAAACCATTATTACTTAATAAGGTGAATTTAATCAACCACCAAATTATGTTACATGGATACAACGAGTTGCAACTACTAGCCCCTCGTGGGTGTTTACCAATACTTATACTCTCAGAATGAGCCTTATCAATATGGCGGAGTTAACTCACATCTGTGAAGACCAAAATCTGGTTTAATTACAATAATCAGAATCATGAATGATTAACTTTTATTCATATAAGTCCTTTTAGTCTTTTCTCGTTGTAGGATTTTATTATATTGGTCATAGTAGTTGATTTACTTTTACTTTTTGTATAATTGTATGTACATGAGGGGCTACTCCTTTATTGACAGATAATTTTGAATGAAAAAAAGAATAATGTTCGAGAAAGTTTAAGAATCCTCATAAAAGGCAATCATCCTTCATCACTCCCTCTGGTTAGAGTTCCATCTCTTTTCCTCCTAGTTGGTGTCCCCTCTTCCCTACATGTTTATGTTAATTTACATTACGATTATTAAACTTTTCCATTATATACTTTCGATCTGATTTCACTGCTAAATAATCCTTTGTCACATATTTTGTAAAACCTAGATAACTAAGTTTGATATCCAACCATCTTGCTAAATTAGCAGAAAGTACCAAACAAGTCCATGAGCAAAACCTAGGATACTATCATAATTTTATAACTTGCAATAAGGCATAAAGTGCAGGTTCGGTTCCAAATTGTTTCAATTTTATTCAGTTAGTTTGACTCCGATTCATGTGGAAACCAAAACAAAAAACAAACCAAAATGATTGGGCTTGGTCCGGTTTTTATCAGGTTCAAGTTATTATTGCGCACACCTGCACATACTGATCAAAATCATACACAAAGCCAGTTAACAACTTTGCAACTCAAAAAATTATATGATGCCTGAAAACAACACAAAGATACATTTAATATAAAGTATTTTAATAGCTTCTTGTGTAGAATTTTGTCAAGGAAATGAACAAAAACATGGTAAGTTGCATATATAGACGATACGAGAAATACTATAGAACAACATATGCAAAATTAGTTCATGTGTGCATCGAAAACCACTTTCTTAAACAAAAAAGGCTTGAGTGTTTGTCGACCATTCTAGATTTAGATTGCACACTAAAAAATATAGTCATGATAAAATGAATATGATTAAAATATGATGATTCATTTATTTATGCAAATATGTCTAGGTTTCTGGATGACAGTGTTGAATAATTTTGATAGAGTTGGATTTAATCAGATTTAGTTATTCTTGAACTATCGTCTACTAACATATTTAAAAAGAATTTTTAAAACTTATATTAAAATGCACAATCAATTATTTCCAACAATGCATAATCAGATTGAAGAAAATGGTAGTTGGCGATGCATTAGCAACTATCTAAGAGGTATACCAAATGATGATCAAGAAAATTAAGATATATTCCCTCGACAGCATAGATGAATTTCTCTCTAAATTGATTATAACTGCATAAGGAAATATACTCTTTTAATGATTGTCCTTTCTAAGCTTGCATGGACAACTTTGTAGCTTCGGACAAATTCAAAATCATAGAAAATACAATGAAAAAAGCTTATCGTAAAGATTAACTAATTCATAGCAGCACTGACTTGTATTATATCATCGTCTTTATAATCCTTTCCGCTCATTCTGTTATCCATGATTGCTGGCAATTTAATCAACATATAATGATCCGTGGAAGAAAGGTATGAATGAATCATCCAAATTTCACATGCAAAATAGAGTCGCATTTACCTGTTCAAAGAGCAGAAAATAATATCGCAAATATCAACTAAAGTCCCCAACAACCATAAATGTGATTTGCTACTGCTTGAAGGCAAATCTTTAAACTCTAACCCTAAGTAGTCTGTGGTCCTACATCAAATTAACTTCGAAGTATTAGGTTATATCAAAATATCACTAAGAAGTTAACCTAATTATCAAAGTAACTTAACAAACCATAAAAAAGATGTTTAAAAACTTCACAAAAATTATTAGCTGTATAGTTGAACAAGCAAAATCAAATTTATTATAACATTAATCTAGTTAAAACAATAATTGATAGTTTGGGAGTCAATTAAGTTCATGCGCATTAACCTAAAGTTTATTCCAAACTCAATGATGAATCAATTCATTTGAAGATTAATTCTAGTAAAAGAAAGAGAAAATATTGTGATAGATGATTCAGAGTCATTAACAATTATATTTATGAAAATAATATTCAAAAAGATTTAACATTGATGATGACATAATCAGGAAAGTTAAAATGAAAGTGTCTACCTATGATGATAAAATTGATCTCAAAGCAATTATTAATTGGTTGTTAAACATAGAAATTTTCTATGAGCGATAATGTGATTTGCAAAGATAAAATTAACTTATTACAACAACAAGATCAAGCCTTTGTCCCACTACATGGGGTTGGCTACATGAATCCTTTTTCTCCATTGTGTATGATTAAAAGTCAAATTCTCGTTTAAATCTAATAAAGAAAGATCATTTCTAATATTTTTTAACAAAGTCTTTTTAGGTCTACCTCTACCTTTCTTAACATAAGTCAAATTTAATACATCTACTTTCCTAATCGGGTCATCGGAAGGCCACCATTTTATGTGACCAAACCATCTAAGGAGACTCTCTAATCTTATCTTTCACTAGCGCTACTCCAACCTTTTCATGTATATGCACATTTCGTATCCTATCTCTAAGAGTAAAGCCACTCATCCGCCTAAGCATAGCAACAATTAACTTATTAAGCAAAAAAAATCTATTGGATGAGCCTAAAAAGATAAAGAGGAAGATTGAGGAGGAAATCTATTACAACTCCGGCTAAAATGAAAGAACTTTTAAGAGAAATATTTGACCTTGTCATATTATTTGCTGAATTTAGTTTACTAAAACAAGGAACAAAAATTAGTAGTAAATTTACTAAATACATGAACAAAATTGAAGAACTCTTGCTACATTCTAAGGTAATTGAAGATCCTAAAACAACACTCTACGTTTGGGTCTGTTTCAAAACCTAATGTCAATAGAGAGTGCATTCAGTTTTTCATACCAAATCAAGAAATAAAAAAATAAAAAATTTAAGAACACACCTTTGACTAATTTGTCAGCATCTCTTTGGCCCTCATCTTTTGCAAACAAAACAATTGGCGAAGGTATGGAATCCGGCCACCATTCAGGCAGCTTTTCCTGCCTATTTTTCTGCTTATTCATCAAGGTCGCCTTACCCTTCACTTCTTTTGCTCCAACTGTAGAAAGAGGATTCACCAAACCCTTAAAACCCGTCCGCTCAGGCTCGCGCATCCTATCCCTCCTCCCAACCACCACCTCTCTTCCACCCAGACTGCGGTCCCTTCGCGTTATCGCCCAACCAACAAATAACCACCGGTGGCGAAACGACCAGAGCCATAACAAAAACCTCGACGTAAGAATGGCGATAAAGCTCCAAAGAAATAAATTCCCAAAGAACTGAAGTGAGGACCTCCGACAGGAGAACACGATCCGACTGCCTCGATCTATCCTAAAGGATGTTTTCAAATCACTGCATGCCTCAGCACCAGAGGCAAAGAAGCGATCGATCTTGGCCTCGGATGAGCGGAAAAGCCGCTTGATTCTCGCCAATGTACCAGCGCAGATATCGTCTAAGTCGACGGAGAACTCAACGTTTCGGTCCTGATCGACGGGTTTCTGGCGAAGGCGTTGGTCCGGCGAGGGACGGCGGCCGCGGGGTCGGCGGAGGACGGAGGAGGAGATGTGGAGAGAGGAAGGTAAAGCGCACGCTTTAAAAGGAGATGAACGGGACAAAGAAGCTAACTTTCTCCGGCGGTGAATGCGTAAACGACAGAGTATCGCCGGCGGCGTGGCCCCGATGCAACCGGCGTTCATTTTGCCCTGTGTGCGCGCGAGGAACAATTATTACGTCCTTTGACCGAATGGTTTTATAGGTTCGGCCACCAATAAATTCAGTCCACGTAGCAGCCCGACGACCCGACCCAAACCCGCGCTTTTTTGTAGTTTTGCCTTTTTTTTTCGCTTAAATGGGAATTGCGCGCGCGCGAGGCGGCTCCCGGCCTAGTGGCTAAGAGTACATATGCTGAGTGAAAATCATATCGCCTAGCCAAATTCAACCGATCTCGCATAGAGTTCAAAAATAGTCGCCGAGAAAGAATGGTGAGATATCCTATCCATTTTCTTTGAATAATTTATTTTATGATGTGTATTTATGAAATTATAAGAAACAACAATAATATTAATGCAATTAGATGGGAGCTTAAGGTTTTATTTGGGACGGCTTTCTTTAAATTTTGTACTATAAAACTGCTTTAAGAAGCAGTAAGAAAGCCGTCCCAAATGAAACCTAAGTTTCATTTGAGATTGTTGCGTCCTGGAATATTCGTGGCGGTAGAGAAATATAAAATTTAATGTCTTCGCTTTGTACAAAGATCCAGCACACAAACAGATAAAATAGAGGGTGTAGCGTTCATAAGAGACATCAGAGTTTTCACATGGAATCCTCTGAAAATGGGGAAAAATCATAGGGTCTGACCCAATTTGAATGAATTCACTATTATTTGTAATCAATTACAAATGAGGCCATTCCTTAGGGGGAAGGCCTTGGGTTGATGTAGCAAATGTACATCATATTACATGATGGGAATTGGAAGAATTAGTATTGAAATGTACGTTTAGTCGGCGGACGATGAAGGTTGGAAAGACCGTAGTCTGGTGACGATGGTCGGAAGGATCATTGTTTGGCGAGGGAGGTCGGAATGACCGTAGTCGGTGGGAGACAGTGGTCAAAAAGACCGTTGACTGGCGAGGGAGGTCGGAAAAACCGTAGTCGGCGGGAAACAGTGGTTAGAAAAATTATTATATAGCGATGGAGGTCGGAATGACCGTAGTAGGTGACGGAGGTCGAAAAGACCGTAGTTGGCATGAGACAGGGGTCAGAAAAACAGTTGCCTAGCGATGGAGGTCGGAAGAACTATAGTAAGCGATGGAGGTCAGAATGATCATAGTCGGCAAGAGATAAGGGTCAGAAAGACAGTTATTTGGCGATGCAGGTCGGAAGGACCGTAGTAGGCGACGGAGGTTGAAAGTATTGTAGTCGGTATGAGATAGAGGTCAGAAAAACAGTTATCTAGCAATGTAGGTCGGAAGGAGAAAAGGGTTGAATTAAGAAATAACTATAAGGTGGTCAAGTGATACACAATGGGGATCACACTATGAATCAATTTTAAGATTGATTATAATGTTCTCCTTAGTTATTTGTATTCTAGAAATTGTTGTTGAAGATGGTATAAGTTCTTAACATAAAGGTGAAGCAGTTGCATTATTGGAGTCAATGCAATCGTTTGAATTTTCATTTTGCTTATTATTGATGAAGGATATATTAGATATAACTGCTAAGTTGTCACAAGCTTTGCGAAAAAAAGAACAAGATATTGTAAATGTCATGTCTTTGGTTCGAATATGTAAAAAAAACTTGAAGATATGAGAGATAATAAATGGAAAGAGTTCATGACCAACCTAACTTTTTTGTGAGCAACAAAAAATATATATTTCCCACATGAATGATAAATGGGTTACTCGGGGATTGCCTCGTCGTAGAGCTCAGCATATAACAAATTTATATCACTTTTGAGTTGAAATTTTTCATATAGTTATTGATATGTAACTTCCAGAGTTAAATAATCGTTTCATAGTGTTGAATACTAAGTTACTTTTGTCTATTACCTGTTTTAATCCAAATAATTTTTTTTGTGCATTCAGTAAAGACAAATTAATTCAAATGACACATCTTTATCCATATAATTTTAGTCATATTGAATTGGCAATTCTAGACAATCAGTTGGAAATTTGTATCATAGATATGCAGTTTGATTCACTATTCTCATTGTTAAAAGATATTGGATGCCTTTCTAAGATAAAGATACGGAGCAGAAAGGATTTCTTATCCTCTTACTTTAATTTTGTTGATTGCAACAGTTGGAGTATAAAGAGTATTTTTTGTAGTGGCTATCATTAAAACTCGACTGTGAAAAATGATTGGACATTAATGGATGCATGATACTTTACTCACCATATTGAGACTGAAATATTTGATTGTATTGATAATAATGTAATTATTAATCTTGTCCAAAATATGAAGAGCAAGCGCTACAAAATATAAGTATTTTTTATCTTATATTTAGCATTCAATTTTTTTATTTTTTTTAAACTGTCAATGTCGGTCCCAAGCTTCGATGAAAAAAAGTTGAGGGAAATTAAAAAAAAAAATTTAGGCCCCCTCTAAAAAAAAGTTTATGGCTCCGCCACTAGTTGCTATGAACAAATATCAATTAGCCCTCTCAATATACAAACTTAAAACGCACTTACATTTAATTCATACAAATATGTTCTATAACTCCTTTTTTTATCATGACCGACAACAATAATAACAATAACATCAAGCCTTTATCCCACTACATAGGGCCAGCTACATGAATCTTTTTTCTCCATTGAGTTCTCGTAACAATCAAATTATCATTTAAATCTAATAGAAAAATGCATTTCTAATACTTTATAATCAAATCTTTTTAAGTTTATGTCTAATTTTCTTAACATAGGTCAATTCTAATACATTTACTCTCCTAACATGGTCATCAAAAAAGGTCGGCATTTTTATGTGAACAAACCATCTAATGTGACTCTCTTTAATCTTATCTGCCACTAGAGCTACTCCAAACTTTTCACACGTTTCATATTCTATCTTTAAGAGTAAAGCCACTCATCCATGCGAGCATCCTTATCACTGCAATACTTTATTTAATTCTATGCTTCTCTCAAACAGTATGATATGCAATTAAATTAGATTTGATTAAATTCCTTAATTTATGGATTAAATTAGGCAATATATATAATGTTCATACAATACAAATTGGTTTGTGAACTACAATCAGTTTAATTTTTAAAAATTAAATTTGTCTAATTTAGTAAACATAGATTTGGCGGTAGGATTTTATCAAAAAAGTTAATCATACAGTACAATTACTAATTTTAATTAATCTTATTTAATTAAATATTTAAATTAATATATGTTTGAACAAATTATGTAGCACGATTAATAAAAAATTAATTTCACTCAACCTTTGATGACTCAACCTTTCATGTATGTGTAAGGTTGCTAAGCCAATGTACATCTACTACAAAAATAAACTCAAGAAAAAGAATACAAACTTTGTAACATACATACATACTTTTATACTTACACTAAAATGTATTGAGTCAATTCTTCAGTCTTTGTTCTATGTATATTGTACATTAAATTGTTAGTAGCACACAAAATAAATATATAATATATAAGGCAAAAAAAATAAACATTCAATAATATTTGTAATCATCAAAATATAATGTCGGGCTCTTGGATTGCAACATTATTACCCACTTATGGTCATTTTACCATTGTCACCAAACTATGGTCAGTTGACCACTATCATTTGACTATGATTTTCTGATCACTATCCCCAAGTATGGTCCTTTAACCATCATCGTCTAACATCAATCCTCTAACTGTCGTTGTCCGACTATAATTTATGAACCACTATAATAATCCGCTTTTTAACTGGGCAACTGACGTGACATTTGATATGTATTAACATTATGACATTAAAAAAGAACTACCACTGTGGTTCTCCAACTAATGTAATAAGGCTTTGATTGGAACTTTTATTTGGTCCGGTCACAGGATGTAGCTCTACGTTCGGCCGCTAGTATAATCGCGCCACGCGTTCTTACTATTTATCGCGCGCCCTGACAACCCGACCCGGAACGGACCCAGGATGGTTTGTCTCTGAAGCATGGCTAAGCTTTTTGTCTTCAGCAAGATTATGTTAAAATCCTCATTTATAATGAGTCAAGTTAACAATACTTCTCAAACGATATATGTCCCCTATCACATCCTAGAAACTAATTTGAAAGAATTATTTATTTTTCTCTTTTAATATAATAACAACAATCGCTAAAGTTATCTAATTCCTTTTATCAATCGTATAAAATAGTTGTTAAAAAGATATAGTGATCCAAACATTAATATACATCTAATTCATACTCCATAAATTATATAAAACAACCAAGAGTTATACAAATCATAATTTATAGTCTATCTGGTCCTGACTACAAAAGATAAATAAGTAAAATAAAATAAAAAAATTTGAAAGATTCCTTAATTGATTAGTCTCACACTCTCGGTCTTCTTCCCTGACCTGAAATCAATTAAACTACATATAATGAGTTAACATGCCCAACATGTTATAAAATCCTACAGCTGAACTCAAAGCACAGTAAATAAGAAGTATGCTTGTCATCAATCAATTTGTAGCAGTAGCAATAAAACTTATTAAATAGTAAAAAAGTACTGTACAAATGCCAGTAAAATAGTACAGTAGCAGTAGTGCAGTAATATATATTTCAGTAATCGCACTAACCTAGTAAGGAATTCTAGCTTAATTGCGTGGTGTTTTCCAAGTAGTTAATAGTTGGTAAGTCAATAATCATTGGCTTAGTAAATATAGTCATTTCTTTTTTTCCCGTCGGCAAAGTAATAATTCCTAATTAGTAAATCATGGGAATCGGTAGAGGATAATACCAATCCACAATAAGTAAAGAAAATCTCATCGACCTATCATCCTATACAAGTCAATCAGTCTTTAGAAAACGTTAGTAAAACTAGCTTTTACTTGTCCTCACGATACTATTATAACAACAACAGAAACCAGCTATTGCTAAATCACATGCTCATATTCTTTCATAATGCTTGTATTACCATTATACATATATTAAAACACCAAAATGTCTATTTTATGCAAATTGTACAAAATACACTAATTTTCATTTCACCCCGTGAAATCATAAAATCATCTCGACAATATATATAGAATAATCAATATTACGATATATAAAAAGTCACGCAGTTGAAATTTCTCGAATCCAGGAGAAATGGAATAAAATCAATTTAGAAGAAGTTGGACAGTCAAAATCAAAATCTTTGAAAATAATAATAGGATAAAAATCACCTACTACAATATGAGCAATTTTTGCAAAAGCAGTGGAGGGGACAGAGGACCAAAATGTGAACTTCTCTTTCCTCTCTCTTCCTCTCTCATTTCCTTTCTTCCTTCCATAGCAAGCCACAACATTGGTGGCGGTGAGGGTGCGAGTGAGTGGAGAGAAATGATTTTAATATATATAAATAAATTTTTGCACGTAGCGCCATAGCGCCACTACCCAACACCGCAACATTGCATGATGAATCCAAAATTAATGTAGAACATAACCTTTAATGCCACGGCGGAAACTTCTCGCACCACTGCGTTCATAGACTCAGTGTCGCAATGCTTACTAGCTCAAGCCGTAGTGCTCTAGCTAGTTCAAATAGAAATTCAAATTCTTCATTTTAAATTTATTTTAAAAAATCATGTTGTTATATCCCCTCCTAAGTAGGTTTTCAACCTTTGGCCATTAATCTTAAAGATTTTGGAGGTCTTGCCATCCCTAATCTCTATAACTCCAAAAAGGAAACATTCTAACAATAATGAATGATCATGAATGCCTGAACTTAAGTTTTTTGGAAACAATTTCAATCTTGAATTGAATAACAATACTTTTTGTCCAAGAGTGAAATGTTTTCTAAAAAACTTACGATCATGCCATTTTGTCATTTGTTTTTTATACGCCCTAGCATTTTCAAAAGCTTCACTTTTAATTAAGAGGCAAACACTTGTATTTCTTCTTTTCTTTGTAGGGAAAAGTTATGATGATTGCTCAAATGATACCACATATTAAAAATAGGATTATGTGTGATATGCATCAACACAAATTTCTTATTGCCATCTAGTTTGGCACCATAGAATTATGAAGTTGGGATTATAATTATATGAACCAAGAAGAATTAATTAAATGAAATTTGTTCTTATATTGCAGCAATAATATTAACACCTAATGGTTGGATACAACTCCATCAAGAATGAGAAAATACTTGATCAAAATCACAAATATTGATGGATTCCACTCCACAATCCAATGACTATCAATAAAGTTCTAAGAGAACCATTTGTACGTAGGCATCCCATAACACACTTCTTTTGAGATCGATTTCCATTGGTGGAGCTTAGAGTAGAGAATGTAATACATATATATATATATACATTAGACTTCCTCAACTCTTAGGATGACCAGAGAAAAAAGGTCAAACAATCTTTTAATCTCCTTGCATTACCTCTTTCTTCTTCAAACAAAAAACGCAATTTATTTCCAAGCACTTTAGCCATAACTAATTCATCATATTGGTCATTCTCTAACTTCGTTTCATAACATCTTGCAACTTATGCTTCATTTGGGACGATTTTCTTATTGCTTCTTAAAATAGCTTTCTGGTATAAAATTTTTAATTTTTGTACTAGAATTAAAGCTACCTTAAGAAGCAGTAAGAAAGACATCACAAACAAAACCATAATTCTTAACAAATGATTTAATGATGTTAAAACATTAAAAAATTAACACAGTTTTCCAAAATTTGTTAAGATCAAAATGAATGATTTCAATCAAACAATCATATAAGCTATATATGGACACTTTGACCCTTCCTTCTCTTAGCTTTACATCTCATCTTTACAATGAACCCATTGAAATGCTACTTAGTGAACAAAATAATTCTCTTGCATAACAAATGAAATACAACTTCATATTTTACAACATGCAAACAAAATCTTCAACCTTCAAGTAGAGGAAGTCAATGAAGTTACAGAATCTCCAGAGAGTTTCCTGCAAATTATAAGAATGTTTATAATGTTATTTTCATATATTATGTTCCAATATGATCATAGAGAGAGAGAGAGAGAGAGAGAGACTTGTCTTGGGATGAGAGAGAGAGAGAGAGAGAGACTTGTCTTGGGAAAGTTTATAATGTTATTTTCATATATTATGTTCCAATATGATCATAGAGAGAGAGAGACTATACCTGAATGTGTTAAATTCTCCATGGCAATGTTGTTATCTGTATCTGTAATAGCTTGCTGTGGCAAGATCTTCTCTTCAACATTCATGGAAATTTTGAAGAAATTATACAATGCAGATCCAATTACTGTGCCAATCACAGGTGCTATCAAATAAATCCAAATCTTCTTGAAATTGTTTGTAACAATTGCTGGAGCTAAACTCCTTGCTGGGTTCATCGACGCGCCGGTGATTTTTCTATTTTGATGCCAAAAAAATAAAAAATTAGATAATTATGAGCTTGAGAGGAAATTTTGTCTGCAATATTGCCAGAACTATTTTCAAGAAGATGTTATTTAATTACCCAGCAGCGATGATATTGCTGAAGAGCACAGCAGGTACTGCTATTCCACCAAGTTGCTTAGCCTGCAAATGTTGAAATGGACCAATTTGTAATAAACTTTATTTATAAAGAAATAAATTTTGTTGATATGTAAAATTTGCAAAATTTGTTGGCATGCATATCTTCATGGAAGAGCAATATTGAAAATATTGTACATGGTTTCTTATTTGACAAAAGTTTATATTTATATTTTTTGTTTTTAAGAAATATCCATTAATAAATAAAAGATTTACATATAACCCACATAATTTTAATATATTGACACTTTTAATCCTTAAAATTTGATATTTATTTATGTAACATTCAAAATTTTAAATTACATAAAAATATATCATTAATATCAGCTTTTTTAACGTGAAATATATTATTTCTTTATGCATATGCTTTGATGTAATTTAGATCATTAAAATGTTATATAAGTAAATAATAAAAATTTAACGATTAGATATATAAATATATAAAATTTATATGTAGCTTCAAAGCTACATTCTCTCATAGTTTTTTTTTTCTATTTGCATATGAAAATCTCATTTATCATTTATTTTTTACAATAATAACAGTTGCAGTGCAATTTATGAATTTATATGATACTAAAATGATTAAATCTTATATCAAATAACACATCATGAAAAAATCATAAATTTAGGCTGTATTTGGGAAAACTTTCTCACTGCTTTCTAAAAAGCTGTTCGAAGTGAAATCCATAAATAACCTACCGCTCTAGGGTCAGTTCCAGCACCACGAATAACAAGCATTAGGATACAGGAGATGATGATCTCCCATGAAAATGCTTGCAGGTTGCCAACAGGATTTGGCCCTCCAGGTAGTGTCAGCATTAAGCTAGTTTGTTCTCCATTAAATAGCCATGAAACCATCAGGCAAGCTATAGTTGCACCTGTCAACTGAGCCATTGCATAGAATGGGACCTGGTAATTGAAAGACAAAGCATAAGTTAGAGAAACTCTAAAGTCCTGTATTTATTTTCAAACACTGTGTGTTAGAGTGGAAAAATTATTCTGTGAGGAGTCCGAACATAGAGAACTATCCAGTTTGTCTCTGTGAACAGTAAATGTGTAGTAAGTTGTGCTTTTACTATTCACCACTGCATTTTTATTGTTCACAGAGACAAAATTGAACGATTCTCTGTGTATGATCTACACACGTAATAATTTCTCGTTAGAATGAGATTAATTTTACTACATTCGTGATTAATTTCATGCATCAAGTGTCATTCTAAGGCTTCATTAGAGACAGCTTAATTTCTTACTGCTTTCTAAAGTAGTTTTTTAGCATCAAACTTTTTTGACCGAGGAATTTTTATACTAATGGAAATGAGATTGCGGCCTTAATCATATAATCTAATAGTTTAAATGTATTGAAGAATGAATTATAATAAAATTAATCTCATCTTGATATAAAAAAAGTACTATCAAAATATGTTCAAAGGATAATTAATTGAAGAACCTGTTTCCATGGAAATAGTTTTGCAGTTGCAAAGCCAATGGTGACTGCCGGATTCATATGGCAACCAGAGATATGGCCGAAGGTGTAGCCCATTGCCACTATGGTTGCAGTCCATGTGAAAGCCACACCAACAAATGTTATATCGTTGCGCTTGTCGATGAATACTGAACTGCAGCCCAGAAACATCATTATGAAAGTCCCCATTAGCTCAGCTACCATCTGCATGTTCAAATTTAAGAGAACAAAATGTTTAAAATAGTCTCCCGACTATTCGTATATGAACAATTTACGCTTCGTTTGGGACTTAATGCTTTGTTTTTCCGACTCTAACCACAATATTAATTTTAGAAAATTGTTGTGCTAGAAAGCTGTTTATGCAACAGCTTTCAAAAAAGTTAATTTATCTGTGGCAATGTTATAACTAACTTTAAAAAAATTACAGCCATCCCAAACAGAATATTAGTCTTAAAGTATAACGTGTTCCAATTTAGTAGTTTGATTATACTAAATTGATCCAAAATGGATTCTTTATGACTAAATTGAGATCGACTTTGTATAGTGGAGAGACTAAATTGAGATTAATTTTATATCATAATTACAAAATAAAAGGTTATCATAGATCAACTTTGCATAGTCTAGGGACTGAATTGAAGCACGTTATACTTTAGGACTAACATTGCCACACAAGAATAAGAGAGAAAGAGGAGGAATTATTGTGTGTGAAAGCCGAACACAACTCTACATCCGAAAACCAACCAAAATGAGCCACGTCAGTAATACCGAGTGCGGTACCGAGCCACGGTACCGACCAGTATCGAGCCGCGGTACCGATGTTGTGGCTCATTCTTGTTGGTATCCGAACGGCGTTCAGCGTCCGCACAGAATAATTGAGAGAGAGAGAGAGAGAGAGAGAGAGAGAGAGAGAGAGAGAGAGAGAGATGCGCTTGTCGATGAATACTGAACTGCAGCCCAGAAACATCATTATGAAAGTCCCCATTAGCTCAGCTACCATCTGCATGTTCAAATTTAAGAGAAAAAAATGTTATAAATAGTCTCCGCAATTTCTATTTGACTACTGCTTTTCATTGCTTTTAGAAAATTTTTTGTACTAGAAAGCTGGTTTATGCAGCAGCTTTCAAAAAAGTCAAATTTTATATAAAAACTTTATAACCACCTTTTAAAAAACTAGAGCAATCCCAAACGAATCATTAGTCCTAAGTAGTTTGATTGTACCAATTGATCCAAAATGGATTCTTTAGGACTAAATTGAGATCGACTTTGTATACTCGGGAGACTAAATTGAGATTAATTTTATATCATAATTACAAAATAGAAGGTCATTATATATCAATTTTTTATAGTCTAGGGGCTGAATTGAAGCACCAGCTTATACTTTAGGACTAACGTGGCCGCACAAGAATAAGAGAGAGAGAGAGGAGAAATTATTCTGTGTAAAAGCCGAACCGCGAACGCAACTCCACATCCGGAGACCAACCAGAATGAGCCATATCAGCAATATCGAGCCGCGGTACTGTGCGTTACCAAGCAGTATCGAGCTGCGGTACCGATGTTGTGGCTCATTCTTGTTGGTATCCGGACGACGTTCGGCGTCCGCACAGAATAATTGAGAGAGAGAGAGAGAGAGAGAGCATGCAATCAACTTGCCTTCTGTAGCAAAGATATGATTCTCTCCTTAGATCGAACAGAGAAACCCTTGTAAAATGCTGCCATAGTTACAGACTGAGAGACTCGCTGCTATTGAATTGTGAGTAACAACAGCTTTTGATGAAAAATAAGGAACCCTGCTTCCAACTTTTATATACGCTCGTACGCTACTTCAAATACAAGCTGGACAAATTACCTGTCCAGCAATAAAATCATGAAATCAAAATTGCTACGCAGAAGAAATTAATTATTCTTTTTTCCTTCTGGATTTGGCTTTCGACGTATTATGGCTTCTCTGACGTACACTAACGTCTAGATATCCCGTTTGAATGGGCTTCGCATGATAATATATCGTATTATATATTTTGATAACATAAAATAAGAATAGAAAAATGTTATTATTACTGATAATGTTTTTGGTTTTATTCAAATAAAACATTAATCTTTTGTTTTGAGAAGTAATGCTTTATTTGTGACGGCTTTTAAAGCAGCTTTTTAGTATCAAAATTTTTATTAAAAAAAAATAGTTTTAGAAAGCAGAAAGAAAACGGACCAAATGGTCAATAAATCTATAGCTTTTGTGTAAAAAAATAGTTAATTTTGTAGGTATTGATCAATCTATACCATATTGCACGGCTTGTACTTTGCCAATCTGAGATCAAATCCACTGTATTTCTTAATCAATTTTAGTGCTAAAGGGAATTTTTTTGATTAATTTTGAATAGTCAATACACTAAATTGGAGAAACACGATATATTTTGGGAGTAAATCAGGAGTGTCCAAATGGGTTAACGAGTCCGGTTCATGTTTAACTGAAATTTGACGATCGATCCGGATTCACTAACGCAAAACTTGAACCTGTTTAATAAATGGGATAAAATGATCGACCTAAACGCAACATACTGACAACTCGAATGACTTGTACATGACCCGATAACACGTTTTGATTAAAAAAATTATAACTTGTTAACTACAAAAGTTGGGTAAATTATCAAAAGAAAATTGATATTATACCAACAACCAAATTAATTTGAAGGAAAAAAATAAATGGGCCACTTTCGAGTCAAAATTGAATTCACAGGTCAACCCAATTATGACCCTTTGAATAAACAAGTTGGGATTTGGGCTTGAACTTAAATCATTTATTAAACGGGTCAACCCGAATCAGGATTTCTGTAAGCCGCATTTGGGTTGGGTTGGTATGTCGAATCATTTAGTTACACCTCTCGACAAAATTGATCATATAATAATATACAGATAATTGGAGGGCTATTTTAAATTTTAATGCTAAATCTTAACACCAAATGTACTATTTGGTAGGGCTGTCAAAATCGGGTCACAGGTCGAATTGACCCGACACTGTTCAACCCGACCCGTTTTTGCAAACGGGTCGGTTTTCCGAACCCGAACCCGACCCGCTTCGGGTGTATTTCATTAAAATTTTTTTTATTTAATTCAATTTATTTAAATTAAAATCATATTAAGGTAAGATTTACTTCAATTAGTTTAAAATAAATCAAAATTAATTTAGTTTGGACAACATTGTTTATAATTTTGAAATATCATTTACTTATTTCATAAAAATCCCTTAAAACTCTCTTATATTAATTAAAACGGGTCAAATCGGGTTGTTTTCGGGTTTTCGGGTCAACCCGAACCCGACCCGATTTTACAAACGGGTCGAAATCTCTAACCCGAACCTGACCCGGTTCGGGTTCGGGTCAACCCAAACCCGAATTTGGGTTGGGTTTTCGAGTCGGGTCAAATGTTAACAGCTCTACTATTTGGTCTTAAAGAGAGAGAGAGAGAGAGATTGTGGCGACGTTTAATATTGGTTATCATAGAGTCAAGTGTTTTGCTATAACTAAGTTAATTAAATAAAAAAATGCACACCATCTGAAATAATGGAGAACAAATAAAAGGGTCACTGTCATAATGTCTATAAAAAGTTATTGATTAATTACTATTATAATTAATTATAACCATAAATAATGTTAGTCATAGTAAAAATTAGCTAGTGATTATTATAAGTAATTATAACTGATATTAATTAATAATAATCAATTGTTAGTTATTATAACTAATAATAATCATAGTTATTAATAATTGTAATACTAACTAATTACTATCATTTATCATAATAATAACAGAGCTCAAGAGATGAGGCGTGGTCGAATGGCAGAGGGTCGGTCGGTAGGGTTGAAGGTTCGCAGGAGGAGATCGGGGTCTGCTATAACAGAGACCTGGGCCAGAGGGTTGAAGCTCTCTGGATCGGCACAGGCACAAAAGCTTCGACAACTGATTTTGACGGGAAACAGAGTGAGAGGTCGGCGGGAGATAAGTCGTGTGGAAGCCTTAGTTTGGGAGGTTCTCGGAGCAGGTTGGTGTCAGGAAAGTATCGCTAGTGTAGGGAATAAGAAGACGTGGATGGGGGAGCCGGGACAGGCGTCGGAGTTGGTGTTGGGGAAAGAAATGAAGAAGACGAAGAGGCTTGGATTCGGGTAGAGCTCGATAGTGGAATATATGGGATTTCGACAGAGGCTGTCAGGTCAAGGAGTCGAACAGGTTCGGCTCTCATGCGCGGGGAAGAGGGTTTGAGATGAAGATGCGAAGACGAAGACGAAGGCGAGAGGAGCGGGAGAAGAATTGATGAGATCTACGTGACCTGCTCTACAGCAACGCCTAATGCAGGGTATGCAGCGACTGTAGCATGCGATGTGTTCGGCAAAACTTCGGACAGGTAATCGTTTTATCTATTTTTTATTCCTTCTTTTGTTTGTTCTAACTTCTATTCTACCACAGAGGTCGTGAACTTAGTTAGCAATGTGCGAAGCCAAAGAATATCACATGCTGCAGTGGACAAAGCTATGATACCATGATAAAGCGAAGATCTGTAACTAATGAAACAGAGTAAAATCTAAAATAAACGATTGAGAAGCACAAAATCACATCTTTGTTACAGAAAAAAAAATCCTTGCACATTAGAGAACTTATTACCATTTTGATTTTATTAACTACCTCCAAACAATGATCTAATGTACATATGCGTCTAAGTAGTGAAACAAACAAACATCTAAGACAACAAACAGTTATCACAATTCACTAAACAATTACAACACAGCTTAACCGAACAAAAGTAGGAAAAATAGAAAGAAGCTTTAAATTGGAACAATATCCAAGCAGTCATAATCTTGCTGCCAGCACAGAAAATAGTCATCTTCTCCAACTTCCGGATAAGCATAAGGCAAGGCTTCAATCTGCTCCATCGCCGCTCCCTCCGGAGCCTGCAAATAGCACTGTTGCGCTGCTTCGGTAACTACAGATTGTTGCTTTGCTAAAATCTCTTCATATTGTTTCAACTCATCAACTCCCATCGAATGCAAGTCAATATCCCACCAAAAAGATTCTCCAGTTGGTTGATCTTGGTTCGATGGATTTGGAACAACATTTAGAAAGTGGTTAAGGACATGGTCGACTGAAGGTTGGCCAAAGAAGTAAGGCTTGCCGGCGGGAGAGAAAACGACGACAGCGACTTCAACGCCACAAAGAGTGGAAAGCTCACTGGCCTTTTTAAACAGACCTTGACGTCGCTTTGAGAAGCAGACTTGTCGTTTCTGTTCTTCTTCTATGCGCTTTATTTCTATCTTCCTACGGCCTTTGCCTTTTTTCTTGTTTATCTCCGCCGAATCCATCAGCTTTGTAGATCGTGAAGAGTCACCGGAGAAGTTCGGACTTTGAGGCAACGAGGAGACGTAAGTTCAGAGAGAGACAGAGAGAGAGAGAGAGAGAGGGCAGGGGAGACTAGAAGTTTAGTGGAATGACGAGTGATGCAGAGGAACAGAACAGAGACTATTTATAAGTTTAGGAAATGTTATTCAAACGTTAATAAAAGAAAGATTCGAATTATCGGAGAAGATTTTTAACCGTTATTAGAGAATATTTCAAAATTATTTGAAATTATAGGATATTTTGTAAACGTTCAATTTTTTGAAATTGGGATTTCGAAATATGTAATAAATATAAAATTATTTAAAAAGCAAAACTATCATAATCGCAAAAATAAAATTGGCAATTTATTTTTAGAGGAGAAGATCTTCGGCATTGAAGTGGATTTTCAATATCTTAACAGATTGAATAATTTAAATATTGTATGTCATCGGAGAGTTAATCTGATCAAAATAATTAAATTTTGATATAAAATTTCAAATCTTAAAGAAAAAAATAATCATATATATAAATTATAAAATTTAAAAATTAATTTCTTGATCATCTAATTTTTATTTATAACAAATTAATAATAATATTGACAGTATTATTTGATGAGATAAATTCATCTATACAAAAATCTTTAATAAGACTCTAAATGATTTAAATAATTAGAATCATTATTACAAATTTCTCAAAGGCATTTGAGCGGCTAAATATTTTTCAAATTTTGTATGTTTTTAATCAAAATAAATGTTTTCATTATACAATTCAAACTTTATTAAAGCACGGAGACGGAGTGCTTTAAAATCCGGACCGGACCGGCCGGTCCAACCGTGAACCGATTTAAGGGCCGGTCCGGTCCAATCTGAAAACCGCTTTCACATTGAACCGGCCGGTTTTGGGTAGAACCGCCGGTTCAACCGGTGAACCGGTCCCGATTTTTTAAAACCGGCCGGTTCA